ACAAGAAATATAAATGTATAAATACCAAAACTGTCAATAAATTACTTATGGTGTATAATTAGGAGTAATGGGATTAATAGGCTGACTATCAGGAAGAACTTCCTGATAGTGAGCCTTGTTAGAGTATGGACAAGTGGTGAAAACCCTATGGCTTGGGACATTTAAAATGAGATTAGGCAAAGCACTAGAAAAAGTATTGTAGAGAACACCGACACCATTGCCTCAGACGGATAGACTAGATGCATTTTAGGTCTTTTCCTTCTCCAGTTACTATAATTACACTTAAATTAAATTAAAACAAACAAGTCATTCAGCTATGAAATTTAGAAAAATCTTTCATGTCTTACAAAGTGGTCACACCATACCTAGATCCTACATTTTATACTTAGGCAAAACCCTATTAATTTAAATGGGAGTTTTATCTGACTAAGGGACACAGAGCTCAATAACTTTTTTATTACTAGAGAGAATCTAAGGTTTAGTATGACAGTTCACAGCATGTAGACAATAGGTACCAACATTATTTATGGCAAGGTATCTTATGTTTGTTTCACAAGTTAAAACATTCTGAACCTTATTGTTACATGTTAAATTTAAAAAATGTTTGGGATTTTGTTCCAGTTGTACCACAATCCATATTTTAGAAGAGGGTGCCCCTTTCTCATTCAGAGAATGAAGAGAAGAGTTGGCATCAAAAGTAATGAACAGCTAAATCCCATCAGTCCTAATTTGAAGAGAAGAAAGCCAGCCGCTCCAAAGAAATATATTTCCTTTCAAGATTCAATTCCGCCAAATGATTTGCAAACACCTTGTCTAAAAGAAACAATGCATAACAACCTACAAAAGAATTCAATAAATGCAGGGAATGGCAAAATGAACCCTTCCTACCCAGTCTCTACACCATGGCCTTTGGAAAATGGAACTGAAAACTCTATTCAAAGTGGTATTTATAACCAGCAAAGAAATCCATGTTTGGATACTAATGCCACCAGCTCAATTTGTCCATATTTTCCTCCGACTTTAGAAACAGGGCTTGAACCCTCAATGGGACTCCATCGTTTACCTGCAACTTACCAGGACTTTGTGTTCATGAATGCTCAGTTTACTACTTTAATGTCCTTTTGGAACCCCTGGTTTTCAATGTTGATGGCAGCAACTTCATCTATTCCTTTGACAGAAACTCTCAACCAACAATCTACTTTTCCAGGTCAGCCACGTTCTTTATGCAACTGCTATGGTAACACTGAGCCTTCTGCCAGCTGTGATTCTGCAAACTCAAATTCTGCAGAACTCTTGTGACTGGCAAATTACAGTTTATAATGGCTGAACCAGATCACGTCTTTTAAAAATAATATACAATTAAACTGGTTAAAAAGTCTAAGTAATGGGAGTATTTATTTCTTCTTTACACTTAGGTTTGTTTATGCTGACTACCTGGGAAACTTGAGTTAGAGAGTCTTAAAAATGCATGCTTCCACCCACCAGCTGTAAAACAAGTGAAGTAGTAGTACTCTAACAGTTCTTTTAGACATGGGGATCATATACCCCAATCC